TTAAAATATATGCTTTTTTTGATACTCAAATTAAAATACCGGGTGAATATGCTAAAAAGAGAAACTATTTCAGAAATTGCATATAAAAATCTTATAAAATGCAAACGTATAGGTAGTTAATAATAAATAAATTGCCTTATTTATCTTTTCTAATGAAAAAATTCATTCGTAACCAATTCATTGCGACCTTAATTTTTGTAACCAAGATCGATTAGATATACATTTTAATCTTATCCAAAGCATTTCCCTAAAAATCTAGCCAAATCCCTCTTCCCAAACGATCGTAATTTCCAAATATTATCGACTTACAGCAGTTACTTGCTCTAACAATTTATACGAGATACACCTATATAAATATGTGTACGAATTTGTCTAGTCTAATTATTTCCAACGTATGACATAATATTTTAAATCTATGATTGTACGAGTCGAAATGAGTCTAAATCTCCAGGATAAGCACCGACGAAACAGACCTCCGGTTTTCCCACATCTAATCGGGCGACTGACGCGAACAGGTAAATATACAACAAAGTTTAGCGCGGATTTCTTACAAATTCATACAAGCATTAAACAAGGGATTTACAGTGATTTTTAATAACGTCTATTGAATTTAAAACCGCAATTGCGGTTAAGAAGCGACGGGGGCGTTCGAGATTATCCGTAGCACTTTCATTGTCATAGCCAATTTGGACAATGTTTATGACAACGACAAAAATAGACTAGCAGTGCACTTTTTTGGAAACTGATAAAATAAATGTAGATTATTTTTCGAAATTTGTTGTGCGTTTACCTATGGAAATTTTATATTTTTTTAAGTACATTTTCAAGATTTCTTTATGAAAATGAAGAAATCAATAAAACTAATTTAAGTGTAATATCATTCTGCCGTTTTTGAGTAATATTAAATTCTAAATTAGTCAATTCTTAAAAAAATATCGAATTAATGAAGTACATTATTTTTGCGTTTAATAAAATTAATTGTAATATCCTTATTGTAATGTTATAAAAAATGTAATTAATAATATGCTAGGCTAAAACTATGAAATCATATCTACTAAAAAAATAGTTGACTTGACTTGAATTTTAAAATGAATAAGTAATATTGGTTTCATTCATTAATTTTTTTAAGATATAATCTTAGTTTTCAATCATCAACTAATTTTTACACCACATCGTACTTTCATAAATTTGAAAAGAAAATAATAAACGAGAATGACTTTCATTATCAAAATGAATGAATGGAGGTATCATTATTAGTATAAAATTTTACCTGCGATTTAAAAATGCGTAATAAGTCTCATATCTCCTTTTCTAATTGACTATTTGACTTTTGTAATATTGAAAATTCATTCACATTTAAATGTCCTTTATAATCTTTTACATCCTGTCCATTATGATTTACAATTGATTTTTGACTTTATGAATTATATCTTTTACTAATGCATTAGGAAAGATAGTAAATTATTTCTGGAAATAGAATTTAAGATTTTTGCGGTAATTTGAACATTAGGTGAATATCTGATAAGCTTCAAAGTTCATTCATTGCAATATAAAGAAATATATTTACTTTTTAAATTGAATAATATTTCGATTCATAATAAATGGTATTCAAAACGTGGATAAAAAGCTTATATATAAGAGCTAAATTAACTCTTATGATTATAGTAGAAATTGATCAAATCGTTTATTATATAAAATTCTAAGAAACTATTGATGTAGTGTATATTTTAAGAACAAGGAAAATTAGCAGATAATCATACCGTTTATATAAAGTTCATAAAACCTATTGCAATAAAGTATTTGTAATATGGAACTTCAATAATATTAGGGCCAC